GGGGTGCGCTCCGTGATGAGGAAGTTCGGCTTAAAGACACAACCCAGAGGCGTTTCTGGTCCCCACCTGTTGTTTTGCTCCTCAGCACGGCTGCCTAAAAACGCTGCGGGATTTCTCAAACGTGCATGAATGAGTCAAAGCAAGGCGTTGGGCATGTTTTTTATGAGAGTATAACATTATAACATGATATAAAACCCCAAAAAAGTAGATTTTATATGATATTGCCCCTTTAACGTTTTTACTTTTCAAAACTTTTCACTTCATTTATTATTTTCAACGTAGAAGTACATTCAGATCTCTTCAATTCTTTCAAAAACATGGTTCTCTTTGAAATCTTTAGCTTTTATCTACTGTTTTGCTAATTTTATCTTTTAACTATTGTTATGATACTTTTAGCACAGAAAGACCCCAGGTCAGAACTGGGAATCTAATCCAGGACCTTCTTGTAGTGAGGCATCAATGCTAACCACTGAGCTGACGTGTTAAATGTTGATATCTGTAGCTTTTTGTTTAGTTTTTCACTGATTTTAGCTAGAATTTTGATTGTTTTACCCTTTATCCAACTTTTTCTACTTTTAGTTTAAGGCTTTACCTAGCCGTTAGCTACTTTTAGCTTCTAGCTAGCCTTTAGCTGATTTTAGCTTCTAGCTAAGCTTGTAGTTTTAGCATTCTTTTGCTGTTTTATTTTGATTGTTTTAGCCTTTATACAGAATTTTGACTCTTTCAACTTCTAACTAAGCTATCAGTAAGTACTTGTGGCTTTTAGCTAGTCTTGCTGCTTCAGCTTGTAGCAAGGCTTTTGATACTTTGGTTACTTTCACTTTTGGAATTTTTTAGCTTCTAGCTAATCTTTTGTTGCTTTAAGCAAGATTTTATGCTTTTAGCTAGCTTTTTTATTTTAGCTTTGAGGTAGCCTTGTCCTACTTTGAGCTTTTAGTCAGGCTTCTTGTAGCTTTTGGCTAGCCTTTTTCTGCTTTAAACTAGTAGCTATTTTGCTGTTTAGCTTTGCGTGTTTTGTTACTTTTAGCTTTTAAACAACCATTTTTCTACTTGTGCTTTTCGTTGTGTTTTGTTTATTGGTTTTAGCTAATGTTCTGCTTCTTACATTGTAAAACATTCCAGTTTCAGCTTCTTCAACAAATGTCAGCATTCAGTTTTGCAGAAAATGTACTTCCTCTTGTTTGTTCCTGGCATCTTTGCCTGATTAGTGTTTATGCTAAAACAGCAGTTTGTCAGTCGTCATATTTCAGAACCTCTGAACAATTTTACATGGCTCACAAATCATTTCATATCAGTGCAAAAATGTACAAACTAAAGTCGTAAATTAATTTCTAGTCATGTAAGACAAGGAAACAGCTCAGTAGTACTAAACACTGGATTTTGTAAAATGCTTTCTTTGCCTCATAATTTTTTCAGCTGAGATCAATCTGTTGCTTTCACCCAACAGTTTAATGCGTTGTCAGATTAGGAAATCTTACCTGGGGAAGTCTTCATCCTGCCACTCGTCTTTTACTTCCATGTTCTCCATCCGTAGAGTCGCCTCAGTGGTGCCCATCCGTCAGAGAGGCGAGCCGGAGCTTGGAGAAAAGCAGAGAAATCTACTGATTGATAAGACATTTAAAAGGAAGTGTGGTCTCATACTGTCAGTGTATTACAGCCTGGATCGATGCCCAGCAGAAGCATGTCACTGTCTCAAACACCCATGAGGAAAATCTAGAAAGCTTTTACATCATGTCCTTCCTTTAAGGGTCTGAAACCACCTCCGATCATGTGGTTTTCACCCCCCACCCCTGAGCACAGAGGCACATGTGAGAGACGTGTGACTGACTGTTTTCTGGTCGCCCCGTAAGTCAAATGTTACAAATAAATTTCAAGAGGCTGGCATGTAGCACAGCATTCTGCTCTAATCCACCCTCATCGGTGTTTGATCCCACAAAATCTGCTGCCTTTTGATCTCCAGTCACACTGAGGCTTTTAGTCACTACAGGAAAACTTCACATGGTTCATCAGCCCTCAGTAGAAAAGAACAGACGTTCTGGTAAATGCTTTGAGCAACAAGGAGAACTGACTGATGGTATTAAAGACGCCTCTACTGCTCTGAGATAAATAAAAGACATTAGCTCTGATGCACTAATGCTGCAAATAGATGCATTATTACCAGCTGTGCACAACTTTTTTCAATGCATTAAGTTATCATTTTCACCGAGGGCCACATATGGTGGTCCTCAAAGGGCCAGTTGTAACTAACTTCAATATTTCATGTTTAACTTCAACTAAACTAAACACGAAACATCAGGTTTCCGAGCACCACTAACAATGTAGTATAATTGAGCATTAAAGCAAAAGAGGTGTAAAATATCCATTTTGCTACATTTTTGCGAGAGACTGGCCATGTTTGAACCCTGTGGTTTTGAACCCTAATGGTGGGTGGGATGCCATAATTTTATAGGTAAAAACAATCAGCATGCATCATGGGAGATGTAGTTTATGGTCAATGCTGGATTTAAAGCAGCTTTTATTAAGACACTTAATATACAGTATCTCTCATGGGCCACATAAAATGCTGTGGCGGGCCACTTTTAGCCCACGGACCTTGAGTTTGACACATGATCTAACCAGACCTAAAAAGAACAGTTGTTTTTATAGTTCTGCAGTCATTTATATTACATCTGTGATATCTGAGGAGATTCTGCTCATCAGAAAATCACATCCAGTTCTCTTATATTTGGAAACAGAGACCCTGAAGAAATGGCTGCAGAAACATGATGAGTGGATTTCTGTCAACAGTGCTTTATGTTATTAATGATCAAATCTAATGAATCATGAATTCAAATGAGATAATTACGAGGAGCGGAGTGATTTTTTTTGGCAGTCACCCTTGTGGGAAAAAAAAACTTAATTGGATTATTGCCAATCCTTATGAAAAGAAGACATTTCACAGGTCTTTGATCTCACATAAAATAATACAACCAAGATAATAATCTCACTTTATGAAGCCTAATTTAATGCAGATAAGGTTGTGAATCAAATAGTCACAGATCATTGAGGACTTCTGCAAAAGAAACAAACCAACCTTTATTTTGAGATGACAACATGAGCAAGGTGGAAAAAAATAGGTCAAAACCAGTTATAGTTCATTCACATGGCAGTGGAAGGTATTGTTTGAAAATATATCGGCACAAAAAGGACGTTTCCCCATACATGATGCAGCACATCATCAGGACAGCAAAATGGCTCTGCAGCCTTTGTAGGTCACCCTAAATAGAGCATCCAATAAAAGGAAAAAATGATTTCACACATGCAATCGGAATCTAAATGCAAAAGCATAAAAAATAAAAAAAGTCAGTTACTCACTTGTACAATAAGAGATCCCCTCCAAAACCTCTCCTCTGGTCTGTGACAGATGCAAAGATTAGAGGGAAGAATGTCTCAATCCTCCACATTAACAGAGAAGCACCGGTCAGTCTGAAATTCCCTCTCTGTCTCTGATTGATTCAGATGCTTACACACGCGCACACACACAGATACACACACACACACACACACACACACAGCCTCGTGCACTGACAAAGTCATTCAGTGTCCTCGGTGTCAGCAACTAGCAAGCAGCAGGTGCCTGAAGACAGGGGGAACCTCTGTTCTGGACTCCCCCTCCTGTCCTCCGCCCGGACCACCTTTGTTGGAGAAGAACTGGCCGTGAAGAGTGAGCCGACAGCCTGCCTCTCAGCGCCTATGTCCACCCCAGTGAGACACAAAATTCCTTTAATGGGAATGCATCTGCTCTGGCATCCTGATCTGGCTGCTCTTCCTTTCCTTCTTTATGTGGATCTACATGCATGTTTCCACCTCACTGCAATATCAATTCAGAGCCCTGCACTGGATCACAATTTGGAGGGGAAAAACAAGCACTAGTGTCCTTTTCCTCCACAGGATAATCCTGCTGTGGTTTTCACTGGTCGCCTATGAGGCTGCTTCCCATGGCAACAGCATCTCTCTCCATCCAGAGCCTCTCCTCTCCCTTCCCTGTTTCCTCCTTGCCCCATTCGCTTTCACACTTACCTACAAGTCTCCTCAAAATATTAATTATGCATTACCTTACCTCACTTGCTCTCAGCCAATCATAGCTCCTCTGCAGATTCCCAGCATTATATGCTGTTTGTTGCTGACAGTTTTGCACAGTCCTTCTTATAGTAGATTATCTTGTTTCCCTTTCGTGAGCCCATCAAATACAATTTATTAT